CTAAATACCAAAATTTTAATTTATAGATAAAATGAGTAATAACTTTTTCACGATTGTCTATTGTAATGGAAATATTATGAAAAACGAGGTTGATATTATTTTCAATCTAAAATACCTATAAATATGATGTTAAAAAGGGACATCACATTTGTAGAAATAAAGCACATAATATAAAGAAAAATTTGAGCTATAATTGATGGTTTAAAGTACATGTTTATGGTATGTCCCAATCCAATTAGATATCCTGCAGTACCAGTTGAAGAAGAAGAAGGTGATATTAAAACCATGATTAGATTATGTGAGTTAACAAATATTATAGTTACTGAGTTATTTGTTGAGGTACGTAACAACATATTTAATGTTCCTGGATCATCAAGAAATGTCGTTGGAAATTCATCTCAAATGGCTTTCATAAGTGAGCTTGAGAACACGACATATAGGTTAATAAATAGTTTTATGACACTATTGGAAAGTGGAAATGAAGTCGGTGAGACATCCGCAACAACATAGTATGGGGTGACAAACAAACATCATTCAAAATTTACTGTTGATATTGATGTTGAAAATCGATGGGGAGAAATACATGATGATTCTAGCTAAGATGAAGAAATTGAGGAACTCGTTTTGGCTGACGATGACAATGTCTACGGTGGTGGTGCACCTGATTCAACCATTGGTGAAGTTTCAACACCGTATTAACCTACTCCTCACATGTACAAGATATATTATGATGCAATGAGTCCAAATTTAACTCCATACCACATGGTTGAATCATTCAAAATTTCAGGTGAATTTTCAGTTGGGATGAAATTTAGAGGAAAAATAAAGCTACGTTGACGATTAAAGAGTATTCCATCAAATGCCATGTTGATGTCCATGTTGCAGAGTCCAACCAGAAAACCATATATGCGAAGAGTGTTAAATATGGCCTAGAGTTCAAGTGGAAGACTAAAGCATAAAAACTTTAGAGGCACAATGCTTGAGTTATCACAAGGTATAATGATCCTCACGTATGTTTATGAAACTCTATGGAACAAGACCACTGACTATTGGACTCCGATGTAATATGTGAATAAGTGAATGTGTTATTTGAAAAAAAATCCAAAGATCCCTTGTTCAGTGTTACTTGCATCTATTCGAAACTAGTTTGAATACCATTTAAAATATGACAAGGTTTGGAATGCGAAGTTGAAGGCAATGAAGCTGACGTATGGAGATTGGGATGCATCGTACAAAGAGCTACTAAATTTGTTACAAACAATGAAGTGATTCATCTCGAAAACTATAGTAAAGTCTCAAACCATGCTTGTATATAACGAAGAAGGTCAACTTATTCCAAGGAAGAGAATATTTCATAGACTGTTTTAGGCATTCAAGTCATGCATAGAAGAATTTCCATTTTATAAATGTATGGTCCAAGTAGATTGTACATTGTTGTATGATCAATATATGTCATTCAAGAAGATGGAGTTTACTTGATATTCGATCGAGGAACGGGAATTTTGGTGGTAATTGAATAACCAAAAGTCATTGGATACCTCTGCATGCATATCCCACATTTTGTATCCTCCGTATTGGTAAGAACATTATCGATAAGTTTCATAACACCCATATTTAGAGATGATTTACAACACAGATGGTGTGACTGTGTTCGTTTTCAGGCATGGATATATCCTTGTGCTCATGCAGTCATTGCACATATATATGCTGGTATAAGCGCGTACACTTATATTGATGAGTGTTTTCACATATAGAGGATATTAAATTTCTATAGCTATGCTTTCAAACAGATCCCAAATGGATCATATTGGCCAAAAAAGGCTCATGACAAATGACTGTCAAATCTAATGCTTCGTAGAAATTCAAAGGGTTGACCTAAGTCCACTCGTATTCATACCCGTATGAGTTTCCATAGTAGAGAGAAAGGTCAACCGTATATATGCAGATTATGAATGGATAAAGGTCATTCAAAAAAATATCTAAATCTGCCAAGATATAGGCCTTATCAGTAATTATATTTATATTTATATTTCAATGAACAAATATTTGAATTTCTATTTTTATTTCAATTTGAATGAATGAAGATTGAATGTTTGGTTTTTCCTATTTATCTTTTGAATAAGTGTGATGGATTTCCATATTTTATTTGAATGAGTGTGATAAATTAAACAAAATTAAACCATCATCATTTGAATAGTTAAATATAACAAACATTTTATTTAATATTAATTTTTATACAAAAATAATGAACCATCTATAATTCTTATCGGTGTCAGGGTTTTGTGAAATGATAATGTCAAGGCAGAAATCAATTTTGTTGTGGACATTGTGGTTGCTCATGAGTCTGGTAGCTGTCCCCCTTATTCATTAAGGGCATATGATCCAATGTTTTAAATATATGCTCAACACTCTGCTCTCATATCTCTGGTGGAAAAGTAGAATGTTAAATATTAGTATTTGATATCATAGATGTCATGTGCTCAAAATCATACGTTGATTCAAACATGGGAGAGTAGATGGGTGCTTGAGGTTGCATAAACTCGAGTGCCTGAAGATACATAAATTTGATGTATGTATGTCAGAACAGTAGAATCATCAAATGCTTAATGAAATGATCTCACATCGTCTCATGGTTGTACTAAGCTATCATCCACATGTGATGTTTCTACTTCATGGTGAGATGAACTGCTACTCCCACTTGGTATAGATTTTTTAGCTTTAACAAATATTTCTTTAATTTTAAAAACTATCACCTTTCTCCAAATGTTATAAGGTACAACTTTCCATTATCCCTATAATAATTAAGATAAGCCAAAGTCTAAAAATCAAAGTCATCATCTTGAGTGGGACTAAGAGTTGGCAAGGATGAAGCTCTATTGTTCCAAGCATTAATGTACACTACATGTGATAACTCCGTAAAAAAGACTATATTGTGGGTCCTTTTACTTAAGTTATTGATTATCTAAAAGCCATTGTCATAACATTTTAGTTGCATATAGTTGCATTTAGAACATTTATTGCATGTGGTGGAAAAGTTTTGTCTCGGCTAGTTTTTCTTTACAAACTGATGTTGCTGATGAGAAGGATTGTGTGTTGGTTGTGATGATGCAAGTGATAGGAAATGACCGAGGAGGAAATTATTTACCATGAAAATTTTTATTCGAGGGCCAAAAGAATAAAGACGATGACCGCAAGGAACAATTTTTGCAGTGACAAGTTTTTCTTGAAATTCTAGATGCAGTACAAGACAAATTAGCTGACATCCTACTGTCAACTGTCTAATGAGCCTCATGTGAACCCCTACCTCTGCTGCTAATTTAGGACCACATCCAACTACATTGTCACTTTTTTGGCATGAAATCAAGGGTAAACGAGGGAATTTCAAGGGCACAAAAACCTAAAATTCCCTAATATAAATAGAAAATGATGCCCATATTTTTAGGGATCCCTACAATTTCCATATTTTGAGATTTTGAAGGTATCATCATCATTTTCTTTATCTTATTCCTTATTTCCTATTGGTGGTAACCTCCATAGCCGAGCTTCGTCCAGGTAGTAGCTAGGCACTCGAGAGAGGCTAACCCACTAGAGCAGTCATGGTAGTGGTTTAGGTGTCACGTCAATAACCCCATTTTGGGAGTTTCATTCTCCTTTGTTTTCCATTTTCTTATCTTTGTTAGGCTTGTTTTTAAGGATTATCTAGTTTGAACTTAGCCACACCATGAACTAATCTATGTGGTGTTGGATTTTTTACGATTGATATTTTATTTCATGTTAAATGATGATTTTAGTATGTTTATATTTAATGTTTTTTGTTCACTATTTTAACTTTATGTCGTGGCAATGTAAGAGCTTTTAAAAGATTGTCATTTTTCATAACCTAACATGCTTAGTCATTGTAAGAGCTTTCGAGAGATTGTCCTTTTCTAAGTGTTGATACCTAATATCGAGAGACTTAGGTTAGATCTACGTGAACAAATAAACTAATATGGGATGGTGAGGTTCTAATCTTCCTTAGAGATAATAAGAGGGCTTCAATCGACTAAAATAGATAGTACTCAATCGATAGGCTAGAGTTACAGTTTATGCTGAGAGGTATTGTCGTGGAAATAGTTTTATCAGGTTCCTTACTAGATATAGCCTAGGAACACTTTAGTAAATCCTATCGGGCAGCATAAACATAGGGTACTTGGTCATCTAGGCATAGAATAGTTTCTCTCCATTGCAAGTCCAACCATTTACTCCATAGAAACTTGTTTGTGAGAGGTTATCAGTTTATTTCCAGTGCTCAGATAAATTCTTGTCGTAGCATATTTTTACTTTACTTGCTTCAGTGTTTACAAAATTTCTTACCACGACATAATTTTCCATTTGTTCATACCATTTCCTGCCACGATATAAATTTCCTCATTGTACATACCTTTTTATATTTTTACCTAGTGACATCCCTTTGCTATAACATATTTTTAAAAACCCTATAATCAATATAGAGACGATACTAACTCACTGCTATATTACTTGGTTGATTGTGTATACTTGCACATAATTGCGTGCCACAACACTATCTATTTACACGCGATCAAATTTTTGGCACTGTTGTCGGGGATTGGCAATTTGTGTTTTTAAAAGTTTTTTATAGCATTATTTTAATTCTTTATTTTTTTAGTACGAATTTATTTTCTATTTTTGTTTACCCTTTTTAGGTGTTGAGTTGGTACATAACTTATAGAAGAACCAATGAACCATTATCTCATTTTGAACCTGAAATTGAGCAACTCTTCTGTCAAGAAAGAGGTGTTCAAAGAGCTCAAAGAATTATATATGAAGTTCAAAATGAAGTGGAGGAACATGAAAATTTAAATATCGCGGCAAATTAAAATGTAAGGAATTCTACAAGACCACGAACTATTAGAGATCATTTAGATCCCACATTGGACAACCGAAAACATGGTATTGTAGTTTCTGAAATTCAGGTAGCCAACTTCGAGCTCAAACCGGTCATGTTCGACATGTTGTACTTGATTGGTCAGTTTGGTGGTGCACCTCATGAGGATGCAAGGCAACATGTTCGAGCATTTTTGGAGGTGTGTGACTCCTTTCAACAACAAGGAGTTCATGAAGATGTACTGAAATTGAAGTTATTTCCATACTCTTTGAATTATCGTGTTAGGGCATGGCTTAATGGAGTACTTTCTGGCTCAATAAAATCATGGGCAGACTTGTATAAATTTTTTTTGCTATGGCATAATCCACCCAATATGAACAACCATCTTAGGAATGTTATAGCATCTTTTTGTCAAGATGATGACAAGTCTATGTTTGAGTGTTGGGATAGATATAAGGGACACCTACGCAAGTGCACCAACAATGGATTTCATGATTGGATGCAAGTTGTTATGTTCTACCATGGTATAAATGCTCTAATAAGGTTGATGCTAGATGTTGCGGCAAATGGTACTTTGCTGGACAAGTCGCTTGAAGAAGCATTTGATATCTTTGATAGGATAGCAAACAATGACTATCAATTTTTTTTCAAGGTTAAGAATGGGGAAAAAGATCAAGGGACATTTGGGTTGGATTCCGAGGACTTTATTTCAGGTCAACTGTTAACCATTACTAATATGATCTTCAATGTTCTAGCGAAGTGAAGGAAGTCAAGGTGCCAATTTCTGCATGTATTTTATGCCATGGAAATAATGTGAACGAATGCCCTGACAACCACGAGTCTGCTAACTACATGAGAAACTTCAATAGAGGCAACAACAACCCCTATTCGAACACTTACAATCGAGGATGGCTTCAATATCCAAATTTTAGAATCAATGAGCCAACAATGCCAGCAGCTCGAATCGACAACACAATTTGGTTGAACCCCCAGGTTTTCAAAAAAATATATCGTGGCAAAATATTTACAAAGGTTTAGCATCTTCTTCAAATGCTAACTCCCTTGAAGCTTCTGTGCAATAATTTATGGCCTAGACAAAAGATTTCATGACTTCAACTAAGGTCTTGCTGCACAAACATTCTTCAACAATTAAAAGCCAAGGCATATTGTTGCAAAGTCAGATAACCTTATTGCAAAGTCATAGTTCATCTTTGAGAGCGTTAGAGAAACAACTGGGCCAAATTGCCACAGCATTACATGCTCGCCCACAAGGAAGCCTCCCTAGTGACACTAAGGTCACTAAGCCTCACGAAAATAAGTAATGCAGTGCGGTTACACTAAGGAGTGGTACCCAGCTCAATCAAAAAGACAAGTTTAGAGGGAAGAAGCAAGAAATTTTTCACCATGGTACTGTACTAGAAGAATCTGAAGGTCAAGATGAACTTGTTGTACAAGAAGAATTGCCTATGGAGAAAGACAATGATGAGGGTTCAACCAGTCTCTCTACTGATTAAGGAAAATTTATTGCCACGACAAAAGTTTACCCCCACCTGCAGCAGATGAAGTTTTTGTGCTTATTTGAAAAATGATTGATCCCTTGTGCATTAGATGATGTTTTTGGTTGTTGGTAACGGCTATAATGATCTCCAACGGCGCTAAACAACTAGAATTAATGGAAAAGTATAAATTGAAGGTCAAAGCTTCCCATGACCAACAAGAATTATATTAAACCAACCTAACAACATCAAAGAAGTGTTTTTGTGCTTAGTTTTCAATCTTTTCATTGTAAACACACTTGTGAGTTATATTGTTTATTTTGCTCAAGTGTGTATTGGGTGAGTGCTTAATTGTTGCAAACTAATTTGCCTTTATGAAGTTTTTCTTTTGCTTGCTAAATTTGTATTTACTCTTTGGGAGAATGTGTGTTCAAAGTTTTGGGGTATAAACCTTGAAGTGTTTGTAAGGTTACACATTGTCCTTAAATGTAAGCAAATCTAGTGGATTTGAGAAATCCTTAGTGTGGATACTAAGGTAGTGTATGTAAACTTTGGTTTAGAAAGTCGAACTACTCTAAATCGTTGTGCAAAAAGTTTTATTTTTCGATTGCTTCTATAAATTTCTTAAAAGGCCAATTCAGCCCGTCTTGGCGGTTTCTGATTGATCGATAAAGCTAACAATTTATACACTAAAATACAAAATATATGCATTATGTTGTCTATTTTAGACTAAGTATTGATCTTGACTCAATGGTAAGGTACATATTTGGTTTACTAACTGTCTTAGGTTTGAATCCCTTTAGCCACAATCTGCTTTATTTTATTTTCTTTCAACGAAAGGGTGACATGTGTCATCCTTTGATTGGTGTATAATAAATATATTAAATTAAAATAAAGTTAGTCATCCAATCAGATGTTGCCATATGTCACCAAAATAAAGTTGGACTAAATTGAGAGAATATGTAAGTAACATAGACTAAATGTTTGATTATACCAAATTATTTAACGTCATTTAACTCATGGTAACCACATTTTAATGACCATATATATATATATATATATATATATATATTAAATCAATGAGAAAAAGTAGACAAAATAAAAACATAAGTGATTTATCATGTAGTTAATCCTATATTTTTTATCACATATAATTAAAATATGGTCTAACAAACACATTTGGTTGGTTGGCTGGATTGCTCATCTTTGTTTATATTTCCTTAGGTCATGGTATCTACACATACTAGGAGCACTCTCATTTCTTCTCCTAGAGTCCTCCCTCCTCCTCCTCGCTAAATAGGATAAATTTACATAAAAATCATTTGCGAATGATTTGTTTTTTTTGCTTTTACTATGAATATTGACCTTAACAATTCTAAGGTAAAAATATATTTCTATTTAAATAAGACAATTATTTTAAATATTTGTAAAAGATACTTATTAATATGAATTAATTTATTATTAATTATTTAATATATTATTTTTATTATTTTCAATATGTAACTCTCGCTTCAACCAATCAAAATCAAAGGGTTCAACATGCTTTGTCACGTAGGAAGAAAAAAGCATTTAACCAAACATACTCTTATCTTACGTGACCCAAAGAAGTATCATTATATTGAAGTGTCAATCTTATAATCAAATTTGAAATCAAGGCCAGTCTAATGAGTTTTAATGTCCTGAGCAAAATAATAATTTTATGCCCCTATACTTGTACCGTATAATAGACAAAACATAAATATTTTTTTTAAAACAAAAATATAATAGAAATTATAGTCAAACAATATCAATACTAATACAAACCAAAACCTACAAGGCTACAAATATCACCTAAAATGATGCATTCGTGCATTTTTTGAAGCAAAAACCTCTATTAGGTCGAGTGACTGTTGGTGTTGTTTGGATTTTCGAAGGAAGACGCAGAAGACCATCGATCTTCCATCAATCTATTTCCTATTCGTTATTGACCGTTGGGTGTTGTTTGGATTTTCGAAGGGAGAAACAGAAGATCATCAATCTTCCATCGATGATTATGCACCGTCTGCACCGAGAAGACCATCCGACTTCCATTAATTTTTTTTTGGATTTTCGAAGGGAGAATTTATTAAACACAGTCTGGCGTTTGCACTTCCAATGAAGAATTTTTTTTTTTTGGATCTTCGTCTCCTACCCTAAGCCTTCCATCGACCGATCAGGTGTTTTGGGCTAATTTTTTTGGGTCAAATATATATATATATACAAACCGTAAGCACTAGAAAATTGATGCCCCTCAAACATGCTGTCATGGGCTAAGGCCCATCTGACACATGTATTGGGCTGGGCTTGTTTGAAATAGATATTTTTCGTAAATTAGCCAAAAGAATGTTACCGAGTTCTAGTGAGAGGGGGGAACACAACTAGCAAAACAACCGTAATTGAATTCAACTCAATTTCAAATTTGGTTTATTTTCGATATGAGTTGTACTTTTAAAGAAACCCCGACTTCCTGAGCTAACTCAATTAGACTTGCTGAACAAAAAATTTTCACACTAACTCAACTCGATTTGTTTTCAAAACTAAATGTATTGTATACAACATCTCATTTTTACTCGGGAATGTCGTTTCACAACGATATCTCATTTTTACTTGGAAATGTCTAACCAACGGCTATATAATTTAAAGTTAAGAAACGATAGGGAAGAGACATAACAAAAAAAAATTATAAAAATCACATTTTTTATTATACGCAACATAAAATGTCAACTTTTTCTTTATATTTTTTGGTTGCACACCTTCATAACATTTTCACTTCAACCAAAAATATTAAAAAGCTAATATTTTAAGTTGAGCTGAACCGAAAAAATTATATTTATTATAACATTTTTGGTTACGTAGTGTCGTTCCTTAACCTTAAATTATGATGTCATACAGCAAAACTTCATTCCTTAACCTTAAATTAAGATATCAGTAAAACTTCCCTCTGAAACTACTAACTAGTCAAATACTGAAACTTCCCTCTGAAACTACTGACTAGTCAAATAATGTCCGCATTTATCAGCAGTTTCCATTTTGCTTCATTCATTCCCCAAGTCCCCATGTTGCTCATATACAAAGGGCATTCTTAAAAAAAACCCAACCAAATTCAACATTCAGAAGCATTACAAGTTAAATAATAGAATGAGTTCTCTGTACAGGACCTACAATGATTCTAGCTTCCCCTTGATCTCATTCCCTGGCAAACAGATATACCAGAACCTGCAATTGTTTCTCGTTTTAAATAAAAGACAAATACCACCAAATAATAGCATCTTTTTCCATTGAGCAAACATACAACAGCTCCTGCCATCACTACCAGTCTTTGCTCATCATGACAGCTGAGTTCAGACTTCCACTTCAATGTCTTTACATAATGCAACTCGCATTTTTCTACTCATTTTCAACATCCTGCAAAATGCCATGGAAATTTATCATATGTTACAAGCAATTCCATGGTTGATGAACCTTAGCACGAACATTGTTGAGGTGAAACTTAAAAAATGTTACAAGATGTGGATCAAAGGATGCAACAGACAGCACTTTCAAGAATTCGTGCACCTGAATAAGAGTAAGTAAAAGTTTATTCAAGCTTACAGAATTTTCAATCTTGTCAAAATCATCATCCAAGCTCCCATCAGCATCAAAATCAGGCTCATCTGAAAGGTGCGAGAATTATTAGAGGATTTACAGTAAAATGTCATAAAACAAAGCATAAAAGAAGAAAAGAAAAATATGGCATCTAGTACTGCATGTCTCCAACTCTTCATTTTTCTTATCTTGACCGTGTCCAAAACACATTTGGACATTAGGTATAGGAATATGACCCCATAAGATCCTCAAGATACACGGAAAAACTATAAAAAGATTGATCATACCCAGGTCGGACATATATATGAACCTGACACTCACACTGCAAACCGAGTAACATATGCATGATCAGGCTTTGATACTCAGAAACATTCTTTTCAATGAATAATTTCTAAATGAAGTCATCAAAATAAAAAAGATAAAACGATTAAGTTATTTCAAGAGCAAGCAAATATATATCAAAACTGCAGGAAGCTAGAACCACATGAAGATATTACAAATCAGAAAACAATAGAAAAAATTCCGATGAATATACATCCACCCCCATCACTATCAAAATCTCCCAACAAAAATGTATCCAAATCCTGCTCAGCAGATGAGCTCGATGTTTTAGTTTTCAAACTACTTTCCTGTTCTGTCTTCACAACAGGTTTCTCCTCTTTTGTCTCCTCCACTTTTCTCTGTTTAACTTCCTCCATGTACTGCCTCTCATAACTGATAAATGTAAACAGCTTACATCATAATCAGAATTTGATCGCCACCCTAAATATTCAATCATCGTCACAATAATAACAATAACTAAAAGCTTACGGTGCAACATGGGTGCTAACAAGTGAAATATATCCTCCAAAAATTCCTTTCTTTCATCAAACGTGGACACAATTCATACCTTAATTTCTTGATTTCCTGCATAAGAATAATAAGTTTCACATAAATCAATTATTATAAGTATAAAATCTGAAATGCTTCCTTCGATTCCTAGAACTTAGGTCGAGTTTGGTATTTCAATTTCAATTGAAAATTACAATGATAAAAAAGTTTTGACCTAAAGAATAATTCATCTCAATGCCAAATTCAAAAATTAGGATCCTTAAACGCAGCCTTAGAATTAAAAATCTATAACGAAATGTAGTATTCCTTTTTTTTTACCCCGACAGTAGTAAGAATAAGTGCCGCATGCCTCTCTTGCCATTCACTCAGATCCTTCCGTACATTGGACCCAGTAGTAGTCGCATCGGACAGCTCTGGCTCATCTACAAGGAAATCTAAAACTATCAGACAAGGTTATCTTTATGAAAATACAAAAGAAATGAAAACAAACGTTACCTTGGGCAGGGGAAGGGAAGTTCTGGAAAGTACTTGGAGTAAAACCTTTGACAAAGTCTCTCAAATCGTCGGTGATTCTGAACTTCCGGAGCTCCGAATCGGAGATAGGCGGAGGATCAGAAGAACTGGAGGCGGGAGAGGTAATGGAGAGGGAGGAGAGTTGAGGAGGGGTAAAATCGGAAATGGACTTGGAAATGCCTTGGATTTGGATATGATCGGCGGTTTTGAGCTCATCGGCTTTCTTGGTGGCTTCGGCGGCAAGTTCTTTAGACTTCTTGGCAGTTTCGGCGACAAGATCGGCGATTTTATTGGGCGCTGTTAGGTACTGCGATTTCTTAGCCGCTTCTTCCGCGAAGGATTTCGCTCTCTTCCAAAAACCTTCCATTTCTACGATCTCATAGATTTTGATTCTTAGCTCTCTGCCGTCTCAAGTACTTCGGTTTTCCTGTTTTCACATCTTCTAGGAGCGTCGTTTTATCTGAACCCTCTAGATTTGTGGATCGGGATAACATTTAATGTAGGGTAAACTATATCACTCAACTATGTTTCTTTTTATTTTTATCATTATTTTTTTAATTTTTATCAATCAGGTCACTTAATTATTTAAATAAATTTAATTAAACCACTTACTGTTAACATTTGACGAAAGTCATGATGTGGTAATTAATAAACTTCGTAGAATTACACATTTAATCACACTTAATTATATAATCAATTAATTTGGTCATAATTTTAATTTATTAAAATAAATTTAATTATCAAATCAAATGGTATCACATATCATCCTCTGATGGGAAGATATTTGAAAATGCCGAAAATAAGGCGGCCATGGGATTCAATCGTGTGTTTAAGAGGTGAGAAGGACAAAGTTTAACCATTAGGGCAAAGCTCATAACTTAGGGTAGTTCTGCGGTGCGGCGCCTAAAAAACGGTTAATATACGGCGTGATCGGTTAAACAAGTGACCGGTTAAAATTTATACCGGTTATGTTATATTATTTAATCGGAAATATTATAAAGTACAATAACATACTAGGTAGCGCTTATATAATGTAATAGGTAGCGCTTATATTTACCTATTTTATAAGTAAACCAGTATATTTATACCGATAGCATTACAAATTTACCTATTACATTATATTATATTGAAAGTGTCCATACTTTTTATAAAAAGGATCGATACTTCTTTTAAAGTTATGTAATTTATGTTTCAATTTTTTTAATAGTGTTTCATGTTTTCCACCTACAATATTAATTTAATAATTTTATTTGCACAAAAAATTATTTGATTGTTTTGATATTTTATAAAATAATATTTAGAATTTTTAATTTAATAATAATATATATCGTAACGTAAAAAATAAATCATTAGACGCATATAATTACTAAATTAATATCTTAAAACTCACTCAAAAGATAACCTTAAATTAATGTTTTCCACAGTGAAAAAAGTATGAACACTTTTATAAAAAATATAGATACTTTACAATATAATCACTACCTATTACATTATATAAACGCTACCTATTACATTATATAAGCGCTACCTATTACATCATATTTTTACCTATTATATTGAAAGTTTTCATACTTTTTATAAAAAGGATCGATACTTCTTTTAAAGTTATGTAATTTATGTTTCAATTTTTTTAATAGTGTTTCATGTTTTCCACCTACAATATTAATTTAATAATTTCATTTGCACAAAAAATTATTTGATTGTTTTGATATTTTATAAAATATTATTTAGAATTTTTAATTTAATAATAATATATATCGTAACGTAAAAAATAAATCATTAGACGCCTATAATTACTAAATTAATATCTTAAAACTCACTCAAAGGATAACCTTAAATTAATGTTTTCCACAGTGAAAAAAGTATGGACACTTTTATAAAAAGGATAGATACTTTACAATATAACCACTACCTATTACATTATATAAACGATACATATTACATTATATAAGCGCTACCTATTACATCATATTTTTACCTATTATATTGAAAGTGTCCATACTTTTTATAAAAAGGATCGATACTTCTTTTAAAGTTATGTAATTTATGTTTCAATTTTTTTAATAGTGTTTCATGTTTTCCACCTACAATATTAATTTAATAATTTCATTTGCACAAAAAGTTATTTGATTGTTTTGATATTTTATAAAATATTATTTAGAATTTTTAATTTAATAATAATATATATCGTAACGTAAAAAATAAATCATTAGACGCCTATAATTACTAAATTAATATCTTAAAACTCACTCAAAGGATAACCTTAAATTAATGTTTTCCACAGTGAAAAAAGTATGGACACTTTTATAAAAAGGATAGATACTTTACAATATAACCACTACCTATTACATTATATAAACGATACATATTACATTATATAAGCGCTACCTATTACATCATATTTTTACCTATTATATTGAAAGTGTCCATACTTTTTATAAAAAGGATCGATACTTCTTTTAAAGTTATGTAATTTATGTTTCAATTTTTTTAACAGTGTTTCATGTTTTCCACCTACAATATTAATTTAATAATTTCATTTGCACAAAAAATTATTTGATTGTTTTGATATTTTATAAAATAATATTTAGAATTTAAATTTAACAACATTAACCAAAGATAATAATAAATATGTAATATATATGTTTATTGTTTTTAATTTAATAATAATATATACAACATCAAACACATTCCAAGCTATAAATTACAAGCTAAGGACACTTGAAGAAGCAAGAGAACAACTATCCAAGCAATCAAAAACGAGAAAATCCCAACATGATAACAACTGAACATATCATATAAATGTTCAAACTCAAGTTGTAGATTTTGATTTCCTTTTGCTTGGCATCATATGAGATTTGGATTTTGATTTCCTTTTGCTTGGCACCATATGAGCTTTGGATTTTGATGAGCATCGGAAGTATTTCGGACTTATGATTTAGGTGGTACTCAGAAGCATTTCGGACTTATGATTTTAGTTGCTATTTGTTACATTTCTTGTATACCACCCAGATCATACACCCAAAACGTTTCTGATGCTTTAAAGTTGACCAAAAAATACAATGGTCGGGATTTCCCTCGCGTTTAAACGTTGGAAAAAAAAACAATGGAAATTAGGAATAATCAATGATAACATGCATATTGGCTTGGGCTAATATTTATAGTGGAGCCGAAATATATATTGAAATTTAAATTCAAACTCCAATTACATATGAAATGAATTTGAAATGCAGTGTTAAATTGAACATGAAAATTGCATAATTGATTCATACTGTTCAAGTAACATGCTTTATGAACCATCAAGCTAAAAGACAATATTGATTGAGTTCAAAGCTGAGTTGTGAGTTGATGGAGTTGTCACACTTGTCACATGGTTGGAATAAAGTACTCATATGGAAGAGATAGATTGTTTTGTTATACATAACCCATCTCAACTGAATGAAAATATACATACAATATAATCAAACCAAAACATACATACACAACAAATTTATATATAACAATGTTCAAATAATATACCCACAAAAACGAAATTAATCCAATGAAAAAGAGTTATTTCTAACAAAGTCTGGAACATTATTTTTCCAAATAATGTACCCATAACAATGTTCAAATAATGTACCCACAACAATGTTTAATTGATTTGTTGTTTAATTTTCAATTTGAATTATTTGATTTAATAATTTCATTTGCACAAAAAATTATTTGATTGTTTTGATATTTTATAAAATAATATTTAGAATTTTTAATTTAATAATAATATATATCGTAACGTAAAAAATAAATCAGTAGACGCCTATAATTACTAAATTAATATCTTAAAACTCACTCAAAAGATAACCTTAAATTAATGTTTTCCACAGTAAAAAAAGTATGGACACTTTTATAAAAAGGATAGATACTTTACAATATAACCACTACCTATTACATTATATAAACGACACTTATTACATTATATAAGAGCTACCTATTACATCATATTTTTACCTATTATATTGAAAGTGCCCATACTTTTTATAAAAATGATCGATACTTTTTTTAAAAGTTATGTAATTTATGTTTCAATTTTTTTAACAGTGTTTCATGTTTTCCACCTACAATATTAATTTAATAATTTCATTTACACAAAAATTATTTGATTGTTTTGATATTTATAAAATAATATTTAGAATTTAAATTTAACAACATTAACCAAAGATAATAATAAATATGTAATATATGTTTATTGTTTTTAATTTAATAATATATACCGTAACGAAAAAAATAAATCATTAGACGCCTATAATTACTAAATTAATATCTTAAAACTCACTCAAAAGATGTATATACCTAAATATGTAGTTAACAAACATACCTAAATATGTAGTTATTGTACATACCTAAATTTAATGATAATATATACTTGTAGTTATTGTACATACCTAAATATGTACTGCGAATTTAATGTTGTACCCACCCTTTAACTACCACTACCAATGCTACATCCTATTGAAAGTAGTACGACTGAAACATGTTCAAAATGAACCTTTGCTTACATCTCCATCAACTCCTGGAGCACTGAACTTGCACAACAAAATTTTTGCCATGGATAATACTGATGTAGACAATGTTAAGCCAACCGAGGAATGCCATGAAGTACATAATGTTGATGAATCTGACAGATTGGTTGGTCAGCTCTTCTGTTCACGTGATCAAGCTTGGCACTTTTACAAGGGATTCGCACGGGAACATGGGTTTAGTGCACGTAAGGGAACAACACGGCTTGACGTGGAAGGGAATGTGAAGACACAAGAATTTTGTTGTTCCAAAAAAGGGTTTCGAGTATCAAAAGTCAATACTGTTGATCGTCAACGTGCTCATACGCCAGTCACAAGAACAGGATGTAAGGCTAGAGTCGTAGTTACAACAACAAATACAAACGATCAGTGGGTTATAAGTAAGTCTGATCAGAAACATAATCATGCATTGTGCATACCTGCTATGACACCATTTATGCGTTCTAATAGAGCTGTAAGTAAGGCTGATATCGATGAGGCAACAACATTGAAAGAGGTCGGTGTTGGCACGTCACAAGTAATGAACTATTTAACGCAGCAGGCAGGGGGCTATCATAATGTTGGATTTACACATAAAGACCTCTACAATGCACTTCAAAGAGGTAAAGCAAAGGAAATCGTCGATGGGGATGTGAATGCGCTTATTGCCTACTTTGATTATAAGAAACATGATGATCCCGGGTTTTTTATGACATACTCGGTAGACGAATCGAGGGCATTGTATAATCTTATTTGGTCGGATTCTACATCGAGATTGGATTACACATGCTTCGGTGATGTAATTGCGTTCGACACAACGTACAAAGATAATTTGTATGGTCGACCAATTATGCCTATTGTTGGTGTCAATCATCACCATAACACAATTGTGTTTGCCACTGCTATAATCGCTGACGAGACGTCTCAATCTTTTGAGTG